GCGTGATTATTCGTCATTTGGTAGTACGTCATTGCCTTCAAAAATGTTTTCAACACCTTTTCTACAACTTTAATTGCTTTTAACAACTTTAAACATTCAAAAACTGATGCTCTTGATTGTTTAATCCATAAATTTCGATCCAGAAAAGCCGCCATAAAATGCAAAAGTTCATGTTTTCCAGGACGCCATCTTCCTAGCAAGTGTCATGGCGTGAGCATGACGTGTACATCTAGGGAAATTTGAGGACACGAAGTCCTATTAAGTTACACATCTGGTATATACTGATGGGATGTAACGAGCGCCATGAGATACAGAGAAAAAATATAATAATAATGATAATATTTTATTTCCAAATATGTTTACAATACATTTCGTAAGTTATATATATTTATGTACTAGTTTACATTATACATATTTGAACAGAGGACCATAATAAACCAAAAGGCTTTTGCGAGTATAGTCCCCCGTGACAAAGTATTTAACACTAAAATTAATAAGTTCTCTATCAGGTAATTTTTCGTCAGTTAATCTAGATCTAGAGTACATACTAGCTATTACTACATAGAATTATTAATTAATTACATAAATATATATTGTACTCTATACTGGAAAGAATAATTTCCGTAATCTACTCTATATGTTATCATATAATATGTTACCGTTATCATATATAAATATATATATATATATATATATATATATATATATATATATATATATATATATATATATATATATATATATATATATATATATATATATATATATATATATATATATATTATACCGAAGTTGTCCTCGTATATAAATCCTCACTCTAAATATTTATTATACACAAAAAACAATACGAAATATATGAATTCACTTGTCTCAAACCCTGTCAATTGTCTCTTAACCTTGTCTATACTCTTGAACAATAACAAAGTCATTATACCATATATGGTAATGTTGCGCGTGTCTCTAAATATAGCTATTACTGTTCAGAGTTCATCACACACTCCCCTAACAAATTTAAACGAATTATAAATTTTTAACAACAACATTCTACACAGTTATATTTACTTCCCTTAAATCGTCCTTCAACTGTTCTCTGATGTTAACTTTCGCGATCTTTGCTGCTTTCCGTTCTGGTCTTTTCTTTAATTTATCATCATTATCTTCAGTACTTTCGTTGTGTCTTCCTTGATCTTCCTTAACCACGCTCCTTATCTCCAAAGGACATACTAGCTGAACAGGTCGTTCCTAATAGTTACCTTTATGTAATACAATAACTCCTCTAATTACACCGTCCTTTCCTTTCACGTACTTCAAAACTTTGCCTTTCATCCACCGTCCTCGATTCTTTTCTTTTATTCTATTTTCACTTGTCATTTCAACACTACTAGTTTCTTTAGTGTTTCCCTGTGAAACAACATTACTTTTCACTTTCCCTTTCGTTTTTATGCCATTTTCCTCAAGGTTCTCTACTTCGTTTTCTTCTCTTTTCCTCTCAACATCATTTACTTCCTCAGTATGTTCTTTCCTTTGATGTTGTCAACCTTATCTCCTTTCAATTTCTTTCTTTTCTCTTTGCTCCCCTCATCATCCATCAATTCAAATGTTTCATCTTGGTCAGAATTATCGGAAGCATTTTCGTCTTCATCACCTTGTCCTTCCTTTGTTTCTTCCGCAGTTACTGCCTTCAGTTTTCTCAACCGTTCTGGTGTATTTTCATGTCCCTCAGTTTCCTCATTCATGTCTTCTCTTTCTTTTCCATCGTTCAAAAACCATGGATTTTCCGAACTATCACCGACCAGTCCAAAATTTCTAAAATTCTCAGGAATCTCCGCGCTATCTTTGGCTTTATTTGCCTCCTCTCTGACAACATGTTTGTGGGGTATATGATATACTCGTTTACCATTCGGTTTCACTGGTGCACCTTCAATGATACCCGATTCTAATTGCTTCTCGATTGTTTCATCATAATTGTTGTTTACCTTCTCATCTCGCTCGATCTTTTTGCATACGTTAGCTAATCGCTTTCCACTTGGTTCTAGATTGCTATTTGGTAAAGACTGTCCTGGAATCGATGGTACGTTGACTTGATATCTACCGTCATCCGCCCGAGTAATGTTTTCTTTAAATTCATGATAAACGTCCAGTTGGTCGTTCTCCCCTTTACCTTCAATTCCAACTACATCCAGTGTATACAATTGCTCGTAGTCATTTGGTTCTCTTGTAAACATACACACATTGTTCGAAATATCTCCACCATGAACAATCCAACCAAACGAAGTACCTTCAACGATAGGATCGCCATCTTTTCCTTTGTAGATTTCCTCTGTCTTAATCTTGCAGAAGGTGTTGTCACCTAAGATCATGTGTATTGGATATTCACCATCTCTTGTCATACAAAACCTCTTATCCTTTGTGTGTTCATAATTCCATTTAAGTTTGTTCATGTCCGGTCTTTTCACTGTTGTGAAATCTTTCATTGTCGACCCGGCTAGCTCTATATCTTCCTTGGTTGATCCATCTAATGATTCGATTGTTACATTGTAAATAGGCATCGACTGTCTCTTTGTTCCATTAATGGTAATGGTTTCTTTCGATTCATGTCGTGCTGCAGAAACTTGAAGTTTCTTTACTGCTTCCTTTGAAATAAAATTCCTGCCCGATCCTGTGTCCAAAAATGCCCAGAAAACTTCTCCATCCACCTTAACTGGAATTATGGGGGGTAATGTAATCTCGTCTGTTGCTGTTGAGTAGCCCGTTAGTACTGTACCATCACCGTTGTTCTCTTTCTGATCATGTAAACTGGTATGATGTTTCTCCCCACAGTGATAGCACCCACGACTCCGACAATGTCTAGCCCTATGTCCCGGGCTACCGCAATTGAAGCATAAATTGTTCTCACCGAAGTAAGCCTTTCTTTGAGCTGTGGTTACATAAGACTTGCACATATCACTCCAGTGTTCAGCTTTACAGAACATACAACAAGGTGTCTTTTTTCCTCTTTCGTTCTCTTTACCTCCATTACGTGCAAACAAGTTTTTCTCTCTTCTTCTTGGGTCAGCTGTGGATTTATCTTCTTCAGTTTTGTTTCTTCGTAACCATTTTTGCAGACTATCAACTAAGTTCTCCATTTTCCATTCTTCCCAATCTTCGTCAGTCCTTACCAAGTCTGACTTCACATTTGGCAACTTATTAATAGTACACATCACAAATCCATCTAATTTCTCATGTTCACCGAGAGTCTGTAGGGCGTCATAGTTCTTGCTCAAATGTTCGTAGAAAGCCAAGATCTTTTCATAGGAGGACCCTCGTACTATGGGTAAATTTACTACTTCATCAATATGTGCATTCACAACCAACCTTGTTTGACCGTATTCCTTTTTGAGTCGTTCCCAAGCCGTTTTATATCCAATCGAGCTCGGTTTGAGGTTTGAGATCTTATCCCTGACTTTTCCACTCACCATTTCAAGTAAATAGCCAAACTTTTCCTCATCACTAATTGGCTTAGAATCGACCTGTGTAATAAACATGTTCTCAAACCTTACCCAGTCTGCTGTTGTTCCATTAAATTGTGTTATTTTCAATTTAGGAAGTTTAGCTAGAGTTGATCTTGCAGCTTTTTCCATTTCTAGCTTTTTCTCCGTCATTCTAAGCTCTGCTTGTAATTTTTCTTCGAGCATTTGCCTCTCTTGATCTCGAATTACTTCCCTGTTATGCTCTTCTTCGATACGTTTCGCGTCTCGTCGCTTATTTTCCTCTTCAGCGGCAATATTTGCTTGTCGTTTAGCCAGAAAATCAGACAGTTTGTTCATTTCATTTACCCATGGCATATATCTATCTCTTACCTCTTTCTTCCATTGTCGAATTTCCCGTGATATACTTTTTCCCAGCTCAACTTTCGTCTCTTGAGCGGTCGAAACAAGGCTATATATTTGATCCAAAATCGCCTTTGTACGTTTGTTTACTGTTTCGATTTCCCTAAGATCTTGCTCTGCGATAAGCTCGTCGGTTTGTTCCAAATAATACTTTAACTTTTCTATTTCCTTGTTGATTTTATTCTCAATTTGTTGCTCGCTCGCTTGTGCTTCTGTGTCGCTCATTTTAACTCTCGCTTATCGTCGTAAATATAGTTGTAAATTTGTTGAAATTCCCCGTAAAATATCACTTGTTTCCCTTGTTTACATCCTGGTCACGGCACCACTATATACCGAAGTTGTCCTTGTATATAGATCCTCACTCTAAATATTTATTATACACAAAAAACAATACGAAATATATGAATTCACTTGTCTCAAACCCTGTCAATTGTCTCTTAACCTTGTCTATACTCTTGAACAATAACAAAGTCATTATACCATATATGGTAATGTTGCGCGTGTCTCTAAATATAGCTATTACTGTTCAGAGTTCGTCACAAAATGATCACCTTTAAATTAGTCTATCTTGAACACAATGAACCGTTATTTTACAAGTTGAAGATCTTAAATATTTTTAAGATCAATGATTATTTAAGTTTCTTATTCATGTACCGTATTAAATACTTCCAAAATTTACCTGAATTTTTTAATAATTACTTCACGTGGAATAGTGAAATACATCGATATAATACTCGGAATGCAAACAAATTTCACGTTAACTATAGAAGAACCAATTATATCAAACACACCGTTATTAACAAGGGAATTGAAATATGGAATTCCCTTGATGAAAAGATTAGTAATCAAATTAGATCTACTATTTCACTTTTAAAATAAAATAAAATCAAATATATTCTTTTTGGAATATATTTGCATTGATTGTCATCAGACAAGTCAAATGTTTGTATATGCGCATCAGAAAACATAAAGCCTTCATGTCTTGTATATTATATAGAAAAATCATTTTTAGTTAAATTAAACTTTTCTTCTTCGTTATAATCATTATTTGTAAATATTCTATTCGACTCCTAAAAATTAATCTTATGGACATTTTAAAACTAGGGACATCTTACCAAAAAGCCTGAAAGGGTTTCATTAAGGTCCCTTGCCCTTCACGTTGTTAATATTATAGCATGCACTGTAATTATGTTAACTTTTTATCGGCAAAATTAATAATAATAAAAATAATAATGTAAATTAACTGTATTTTACAAAAATGGTTATCATTTTAAATTGGATTTTACATGATTTTTGCCTGAATTTCATAGTAGGGGGAGTTTTACACCCCCTCCCACTATTTTGTTCTATTTTTAGTAACAATATGGCGGATTTTCGACATTTGTATCTATATCTTCCCAATAAAATAGTTGTATATTTAGAAATACATTTCAGTTTTAATTAATTAATTAGAGTACCCTTAGTCTGCTCTAAAGTAAAATCACCAATAGCTTATTTTTATTTTTTGGCGCCAAGTTTGTAACGTAATTTACTCGCCAAAATGTAGCAATTCCAAAAACGAAAAAACATACGATTTGTAAGAACGATATGTTCTATATTCGTGGCAATTTGGTTGAAGTTGAAGCATATTGAATTGGTGCTTTTGCATGCATTTTTGGCAAGCGTGTTGCAGCATTCTGTTACGTATTCCATGTGAATCTCCCCCATGCCGCCAGTTAATATAGAATAGATAGTTTAGAAATCGTTAGAATAGCAATATAACTCATTATCTATGTTAGTCAATGTTTATTCATAAATATACTCAATTCCTTCACCGTCACATGTGTATTATATTTTTGCCATGTCCACCCAGGGACGCCGGAAGATCGATAATTGGGGGGGCAGATATTCATATATTCGTGTTCACAGACTGTAAAAACAATCGATTTCAAAAGAAATTAATTGGGCAGAACACGAATATATGAATATCTGCCCCCCCAATTATCGATCTTCCGGCGTCCCTGTGTCCACCAATAGCAATATTTTCAATTTACGCTATTGTTTGGGTCATGGGTAGGTAACTTACCTGAAACATTGCTATTGGTTATCGGGCAAAAATACAATACGTACATGACGGTAAAACACCAGATTTATGAATGTTATTGTTCACTAACATAGGTAATGAGTTATATTGTTATTATAGTGAGTTCCAAACCATCTATTCTATTAACTATGTTACTATCATGGTGGGAGTCAACAGTTCACTGGTGTGAACACTCCAGGCCCCCGCTGGACAAAAATTTTGAAAAGGTTGGAGCCCCCCCCCGTCAGTATATCGAGAACTTTCAGAGCCCCCCCCCCCCACTTTAATGCCTGAAAATATTTCGGTCCCCCCCTCCCCCCTTAACATCGCCATCCGCCTCTCGGCATAATAAATGTATTTTCCCTTAACGAGACTACTATACCTTAATTTGAAACTAATATTTTACTCGCTTTTTAAGGCAAAGATTTATTTCATTTAAAAAACACATGAAACTAAAATATTTGGAGAACGAATCAAAGGTCTCAATGAGACGACTCACGGATCATATCGTGTAATATTAGTAAAGGGGAGAATGTGATTTCAGTAAGTTGGAAAAAGAGACTGAGAACATATCGACGTTCCACTATACAGGGTGTCTACAAAAAAACGCTATGGAAATTGAACAGGCTGTCGTACATCATAAACTTAGCTAAACAATTCAATTTTTACATAGAACGAAAGAGCCTTTATTTAGCTCTTCTTTGATACCTTTTCTAAATCGTAACAATGAGAAATGGCCACATACTCGCCAAGTAAAAATTGCTGGTCGAAATCACATTCTTCCACCGATGGGAATTTAAAATACATTAATTATGCAAAGTTAGTCAATCCATGCAAAAGCAACGCCAGCCTGTTGTAAGCTATTTGTTTCGTAAATCGTTTTGATTACGAATGGTCTCTGTTCAGGGGTTAATTGAACCATGTTTAGGGGCCGATTACATGGAGCATTTTCAACCCCGGGGTTGAACTCAGCCCTGTTAACTGGGTTGAAATTTTTTGCGATTACATGGACGATTTCAACCCCGGGGTTAAAACCTTATACTATACGTTCCCGGCATCGATTCGCGGAAGTAAAAAAGCCTTTATTTTGTTTTCTTGCAATAAATAGTCACTACCACGCATC